GTAAATATCTTATACAATGGTGACTTCAGACTTTAAATAAAATAATCTGATATCAGCAGCACATGGACTTGGGATGTGTTTAAAACTTAACTGTATAATTGGGGTTCTAGCCGCATTGCATAATCTGTTAGTTATTTGGCAACTTTAACCTCAAAATATTTAGCCTATAACATTTTTTGCATCAACAAATTTATAGGCAATATAGGTAATAGTTATTACTAAGAACACATTTGTACGATTAACTTGTTTATCGTTTGTTCTGAAATAACATTTTAAAAAATATATGCATGAGCGCGTGTGTGAATTGTGGAAAACATGATATCAAAAACAGGGTGACACCCCCTATTCGCACAATCAAAAACTGGGTAACCCCCCCCTACTGATCCACCGACCCCCCCCCCCCCCAGGCCGAAGTAACTGACCAATCCCTAATCGTAGCATTTGGTAAATATAACCACACTCTGCAGGCAATGGTCCGTCCTCAGTCTGTATTTACTCACTACTCTGTTACTATGATTTTCTATATATTATATTTTTCGATGCTAGAAGCTTGTACCATAATGATTGTAGAAGCTTTTAACCATAGCTCGTATAAACCAGTAGTATTCGTGGTGAATGCAAAATTTAACTATAGTTTTTTTGTGACAATCAACAACTGTAAGGGGAATTCACAATTTGGTTGAGGAGATCAACTGATATTCAGTGTGTGTAGTTTTTTTTAGCCGTCTCATTTATATGTGGTTAAAAAAAAAACATACAGTTTGAAATTCAGAAACTCTGTCTTCCCGTCCTCTGGTTGAACTGACTTCGAAAGACGTACATAGAACTAATAAGTACATATTTGCACGTCGTAAAATGGTTCATGCGTCACACTCTGTTTAATTACTCACTACTGACAATGGAGCAGGTATATCTGACAGTGGACAACAAGTGAGTCGAATTATTGCACTCTATAAATGAGAATAGCCACACGATTCACAATACGATGCAGACACCGCGTGTCACATGTCACTTGCCTTTTAAACTGTAAATACAGACAAACGGGCTTTGTTGTACGAGTATACCTTTAAATTAGTGATTTTATGATAAATACAAATTCAAATTGCGGAAACTTTCGAAGTAAAATGAGAACGAGCGCCGGGCGGACATTATTTTTGTCATCAGTGTCGTTTACCCAGTTTGTAGATTCGTTCTCTCTGAGTCGTTTTTGGTACCGGCATGCTCTGACCCATGTGACAATACATGTTTTTATTTTCTAGTGAAATCGGAATTTCAAAAGTGTATTTGCTTTATGATAATATCTAGATGAATGACGCAGAATTTTAAGTTTAAACAGAAGATGTGACATGCGAGTTGACCTCTGAAAGGATAAATATTGATTTCACTATATATGTTTGTCAATAGACTATTCTATACAGTCCGTGCTTTGCCGGATATAATGATCAACTCTCGTAAATAATTCGTGGCTCATTTTGTGTGAAAATCATGACGTCATTGCTCGTGTTGTGACGCCTTAGGCCAAACCATCTATACCGACAAGAACTTCTTTTACCGTACATAAGTCAATGTCTACTTGGAACAGGAGTTCGCACCTTTTGAATTCATGCATATTTACTAGTATTTCCATTTCGTCCAAATACGTGGACCACAAACGTTTCACTCACCAACAAGAGGTTTTTCGGCATTAATGTACCTGCATACAGACATTTACATACATGTATTTATAACAGTGTTCCTTTGCCTGACGTATTAGTTGTAAAAGTGTTGGTATTGATTTACATCCTTCTTCCGACAGAATCGTGATCACCGATTTCTGTCCGTTTTCTGGTCAAAACTGATAAAGGCCAATGGCGTAGCAACAACCTTGGGTTTAATCTACCGGGATCATACGTCCACGTTAATCGACTTTCAATGTCAAACCCCGGCGTCTTACACTAGGGTGATGATAAAAACGACCCAAGGCTGTTGTTTATAATTTATTTATTCGGAAACACGTGCCAGTGATAGATGCAAGATTAGCGATGTGTGTCTTACTTAGGTCGCTGACTATTCCTGTGCCGTGGCGTACAATACGGAGAGAAACCAGTAAAACGCACGACTCTGCGACCCAGTGCAAAGTCAGAATTAGAAAAGTATCAGTGAAATCGACGGCCAACTATCAGTACATTCGTCTAATTACTTGATGTTTGATACTTGGTAATTTTATTTCTTTAAAAAATGTGTTACATAGTTGTTCGTTTTGACACAAATCATCGAATTTTGAGCTTGGTTACTCAATGCGAAATATTTGTTGGAGAAAAACTTTCTGAAAACATACAAAATTAAATTTTTAGGAACTATTTTCACGTGAAGTGTTATTTTCCTTATAATTTGGGATAACCTTAACTACCCATATTTTCTCACCATTCGTACGAAGACGATTTTTGAGAAATAATGTATCCATTTCCCTTAAGAGCTAAAATGGTAAATTGCTCAAAAATCTTCACTTTTGTGAGAAACTGCATAAATTAAAGCCAAGTGTAAAAGACATGGTTATGATCATAAAAATATGGTGATGATTCGTAATCATGGTAGCCAACCTTCTTGAAATGAAATTACGGAGAACATGTAACCATGCTTAAATACTTACCGCCATACCAAATCATCGAGACGGGACCGTGTATCTACAGTGACGGCGAAAACAATGTGGCGGTCACCATTTGCAAAATAATCTACACAGTAACGAGAAACGTGGCCTATGCCAAATAACTTTGTGTATATTATTGCGAACGTTATCATGCACAGCTTACAACGTATCGTGGGTTATGTCGATATTCTACCCGTTACGTATACACGCACACGTAGCTTACAACCACCTCACATGCTTACAATCATTTGAACTAACTGTATTGTGTGTGTATGATATACGAACGACACAACTCACCTTCCCGACGGCTAGTACTATTAGAATAGTAAAATGCGCCACGCGGTAATAACCACCTGCAGGCTGAAACAATACTGAAAAATTGCGATCGTACCGCACTGGCCACCAATAACATACAGAGAGGCAGCAGCAAGAACTCAGATGACTACAGAACGTTAAAATCCCACTTGAAGTGCACTACATTTGACGATGCAATGATTTATTTATTGTGTGACGACCGCCCACCAAAATGCCTGCTGCGTACCGGAGTTGCGTGGCAAACTTTGTCTATTCTAGTACGCTGTAATTTCCGTGTCTATTTCGCAGTGCATTGTTATTCTCCAAGTATAGAATTCTAACAAAACAACTACAACAAAATCAAATGCATTTTATAGAGATTAGGTGTATTTCATGATAAATGGATTGATCCTTAAAACACCGGATATCAGGTGTCGCGTGAATGTTGAAGTAGTACAAATAATAGAACATAACTACGTCGACGTCCTTGTTTTTATTACTTGCTTATCCTTTATATATTATATTATTAGGAATTAAAAACTAGTTAATGCTTCTTGACTAATCTGAATGCACCATTGCATGACTTTATAGAACCCCAAAAGTTCTGTTCCTGGGCCTGGCTCGTTTTCACGAGCCAAATATCATTGTTCTCATAAATTGTACTAGGACTTTTATTTTCACCAATTGTTCTCATAAATAGTTACGTGACATCAAAAACATAATACCGACTAAGTTTCATTGTGCTAAGAAGAAAGCTCAGAGAATGCGTTCGAACTCGGAGCTCAGACAAACTGCACATTGAGCTATCTGGAACTCGATCTCGATCATCGGCTTAGCCTGAAAAGTTGGCGTAGGTGGCGCACTGGACTGCGAACCCTACGCCAACTTATCAGGCTATCATTGGCTTTTCGTCTATTTCACTGCATGATTTTTCGTGCTAGATCATGAATATTCATAAACTGATAAGCAGATCATGCGTATGCGGTCAATCTACCTTAAAGGGTGGTGGTCGTCGTGTCACGCATGCGCAAGATATGAAAAAAGATGGCGACTTTGCGCAGACCAGCGAGTACACACTTTAGACGTTACCAAGCTTTAACAAGGTAATTTATTTGGTGATTGGAAGGTTATCGAATGAGTCAATTAGTTCAAGTTCAAGTTCACGTCGTGCCTCGGTCAAAACTCGCACTTACTATTAGAAGAAACATTGGATTGTGATAAAATCAATGTGTATCAATGTAAATGCCGCACTTGGGCGACAACCACCGTCCCTTTAATTCAGTATGCAAATTGATAAGAACAATGACAACAAACTGAATTCCGAAAGTCCAACGCTCACGCACACGCGTACTCGTAAGGCTTTCATGCATTGTGTAACCACTTTTATAGCATATTCCACTTTAAAATAAGGATATTGCTCTCTTCACCATAGCAAATTGCGTGCAAAACGGTTTACTTGACTCACTGAAGGCTTCAAAAAAGGATAAGATTTTCCGTGAAATATATTTGTGTAAATGGCTACGGTGGGTTTCAAATCAGATACTGTAAAGTCTTCGTATTCTGTCTCGTCTTAGATATAAATTCCGACCCGAGTCTGCGATTTGGTTGAGCCAATTTTCCACAACAGCATTGCTCATCAAGGGTATAAACCAAAAGGTAAATTGCCACATCGTCCTTTTGATCAATTTTGAGGTTGGTTTAAAAACATGAATGTTTTACATTCCTTCAAGCAAACGACTTCAGTTTAAAGCCCCGTGACCGGCAAACTATCAATAAAAAAAAAAACAATAAGGGGGAGGGGTGTCATGCGGAATGAAAATTCCGCCAGACAAACTAACCCCTTTCGGTTAATTTCCAGACGCTGATTTCAAAATTACTAATCATTTGCCAAATCCAGCATTTCATCAAATGTATCTAATGGCATGATTGTTACTAGTTGTTAATATCGACAATTTGGAGAGGTACATTTTGTTGGAATTCGAAATATACGCACTCAGACTCAGAGTTTATGACATGAAACCTACCTCATACTGCATTTTATCGTAGTCAAGTAAACCCGATGAACATTATTTCACAACTGTGGTATTTTTTATGAGCAAACTCAACGTAAGTACAGCATAAACGGAAATAATACTCAAGGTTTTTCAGGTGTACACCTCGGTTAATTACAGCCATGAAAAGCTTACCGAATCTGTTTAATCGATGCCAAAGCAATACATTGTGTGATACATCCGAGTTAAATCGACACATTGGAAACTGTCTCCAAGATGAATCACTACACATGTTATGGGTTGTCATTCTACTGATGATGCAAACATTATACACTGATATAGTTCGTGTTAGTATTATTTTTCACTCTTGAAGCAATATATTTCTGTCATATATGTTATTTATTATTATGTGCATAATAAAATAATCAAATCCTTATATTTATCATGATTGTGATGATATATTGTACTTTATATACAAAATTAGTGCGTTTCAGCTGTATACTAGTATATCCTACAATAAGTTATAATTGCATGTGTGAGTACTAATTTTCTTCCTATTTTTTTTTAAAATAATTTAAATTTATATTGTGAAGGAACAGAGCAACAATCTTAAAGATTTTCCAAAGCAGAGAAACAAAAGCATATTGCTGGATAATGCAGAAGTTGCTAAGTCTTAGTTATTATAAATAACAGAATTTTAAAAAATACGCCTAGTACTACCTAAAACATATTCCATTTGTAGTAACAGTGTCCATTAGTTGTAATATGTAAATGAAACATGGCTTGAGTCGAGAATCCAGTGTATATGAAATTTTATTTTGAATTGAAAGACTCACAGGAAGATGTGTAACATTTTTTTTTCTGTACAAAAACTGCAAGAGAAGATGGGTGAAACGCAACTGCGGCAAAGATGGTATGTGAACATGAAGCAGGACGACGGAACAAATTCTTATCATCAGTGACCAATCTCAAGTTACGGTCTGTTCCACACACTTCCACGATACAGATTTAAAATTGCAAATTTTCATAGTCGGAGGTATCTAATCGCAAATTTTCATAGTCGGAGGTATCTAATCGCAGATTGTATGTGCAATAAATGTTGAGTTGCTGGAAAAATAAAATATTTCATCATAGGAAGAAACTCATGGTTAAGAAAGCAAGGAATGTTATGGAAAAATATTACATGGCTTTATGATGTCACTGTTACTTAGTCTGCATGATATGTGATAAACACTATTCATGTGTTCAACTCATTATCACCACTGTGGGTAATAACTTTTAGTTGTTCATTTAAACATTGACCGATGGGCGACCGAATCAAATCAACAACGTCCGCTGTTTACGCAACAGAAGCACATCGCCACTAGAGGGCGCGGTTCATAAGACATTTGTTTTAGACGCAAGCTTGTTGGTCCTGTGAGAAAACATTTCGTCTCGATTTTCATTTTTAACATAACACTTTGCTCTGTTAAGTTTGTATTATATTTTACTAAACATTGCACTATGCCAGAGTACGATGTGAAGCAGTCCATCTACAGAAAAGGACTGTGGGTGTATGCAGTAATTTAGTCAAACAAGCTGTACTGGATGTACTCAAACATTTACGGTGAGTACGCCGCGGTCAAATTCATATTACTATATTCTCGGGAGCGGACATCCGGGCATTTTCACCGCATGGCAACCATCACGGTGAAAACAAAGGCCGAAAAATTTAAGAAAACGGTACTTTGGGGTGGTTGAACAGCGTAACAAAATTACTGCGTGTGTAACGCATATAAATTTGACTGTTCAGGATTACTTCAAAGTTGAGTTCCTGTTGTTTTCTTGAATTTTCACCGGCTCTTCGCTCGGCGTACCGCGTCCCTCAGCAGCTCGTGCAGAGCCCATGGAAATGCATGTACTGTGATGCTCGACTTAGCAACGTAGAACGTCTTATGACGTAGCTCCGCTCCCGAGAATTGCCAACTTGAAAGCTAGTACCACTCCCCCCCCCCCCACTCAGGATCCATAGGGGGCCGCATGCGCATTCCCATTTTCTCGGGAAAGGGGGTACTTTTTGACGATCTGTCTCGGGAACATTTTCCCGAGAAAATCGTAGAAAAGGGGGTATTTTTTGCTTGTTTTCCCGAGATTCTCAAAATAGGGGGTGTATTTCAAAACGCTTCCCGGGATATACAAAAAAGGGGGGTTTAAAAGGAGTTCTAGACTGAAAAGTTCCCTAGATAGGGGGTGAAATTCATCGGAAAAGCCCGTGAAAAGAAGGGGTTAAATTTTCTTCTTTTCCCTAGATAGGGGGGGGGGGTCAAAAAAAATGAGGGAACAAGCATAGCCCCCCCCCTAAATATAGGGAGTGGGGGGGCGGGGTACCACTGAGCGGTACGGTTGATGGCTCACTGTTGACTTCATATAATTGGCTAGCATGATACTGTTTTTTTTTTTTCTACTTGTACAACTATATTATTCCAAACTTAACGATTTAGGTACCCGACTCATTGTAATTATGCGTGAATTAAACTTTTGTTTTACGTTAAATTACGATGAAATATTACGCTAAATTGTCTTTTAGCGCAGCGTATGTATATACGATTCCTTGCAATGTCGCCACCAACGACATACTTCAGATGCTTCGCTGTTTTTATCAGTAGTGTACAGACAAATAGAAGACACACCCGGTTTGCAAAAAGATTGAATTGCACTGAATATTCAAGACATAGGTTAATTTTAAACAGGTCGTATCTTTTGGGTCAGGGCCATCTCTCTCTTGTATTTTCCTATTACATGAAATCTCACAATATCACGCGTTAAAGAACGAGACCCATCATGGCGGTGTGACGAAGAAGTTGTTGTGATACGTGTTACATAGCTCGACCGATTTTCTGCCAATATTTATCTCAAAAAGGTATATTATTTTGTTTATGGTACTATTGCATACACATACTTTGAAATGATCGGGTGAAGCTGAGATATTTCGCGTATATGTCGATATCGTCAACCTTGTACCAAAGTCGTCTGCGTGGCACACCACCGAACTAGTTGAAGTTGAAGGCGCGTGCGCAAAGTTATTTATATTATTGTTTACCGATTTAAGTCCAGAAATCACAGAATGTGCGTATTTGACCTGTACGTTCTATCACAATTGTGTACATTTGCCTGCAATAGTGGTGAAAAGTCAGCAAGAAACTTTCCCCGAAATGAAATTATATCCAAAGCGGGAAATGTAGTATGCGCAATTCTGCCGTGGTCGTATTTCCTCAGTTTTGTGCATTTTGGGGATGCGTTCAACTTTTATACGGTCCACCTCAAATTTTGTCTTTAGATATTAATGAAGAAACGGGCTTAGATTTATCAACCAGTTATTCGTCGGCATTTTCCTTGTGTTTTTTTTTTCCTGGACAAAAAAATCTAGAAATTTAAGCTTAGCTATTTATACATATACTAGTTTATAGTTATGTTATTGATAATTTTGCTACAATAATAAATAACTATAGTGCCTTGTCAGCATTGGTTACCCAGAATGCCTCTGCTACTCTTCTTCCAAACATAAGATATACTGTAAAATTTGTATTAAAAGCCGCAGCTTCTATTAAAATGGTTCAATGCAACAGAGTGAGAAATGGTGAATTTTGGGGTCTCAATTGTTCGAAAAGAATAGGTGCGGCTTCTATTAGGGACGCGGCTTCTAATACAGATTTTACGGTACATGGTAAATATTTGGTCACAGCAATAACATTGATTTGATTCAGTATCACCTTATGAATTGTTTTAGTGGGGACCTATTTAAACAGAACTTAAACAATTTCAACCTTGAAATAATTAGTTTCGTTCTGGAGCAGTACATATCGTTGGGTAACATAAATCTCAGAAACTCTGCAACTCTGGTTGAAAAAATGTATTACCTTGTTCCTATTGTCTGCATTGTATTATCTGTACCGAGCAAGGTTTCTACAACTATACTAACAGTTTTTACAACGATGACTCACTTGATATATCAACGGGGTAACTATTAGTGACTGAAATTTTATTTTTGTATCAGTAAAATTATGTCCATCTTAAAAACTCTCTGCAACTGTAGATTGGCTATCTTTAACCCTCAAATTTTCAGGAAAAAATCATAATGAGCAGAAATTAAAAAAGAAATTTTTTTGTTTGTTAATTTTTATATTTATTTTCTGTATTTCTGTGGTAGCTATTATAGACAGATATATTGCATTGATTCGTCGTAGTTTATGAAATAATAACTAAACCTTATCTGGTCAAGTCACTGTAGTAGCGCATGTGACTGGCAGGATAAGGGTTTATTGTGGTTTTA